CAGAGCCCCACCCTGAGCTCCAGCTGCACCCGTGTCCTGAAGTTACCCCCCCCTCCCCCCCCGGGAAAAAACAAACAAACCTCCCAGGAGGGGGGAATCGATCCCTGACTGCCCCAGAAAGGGTTTTGGCAGGGCTGGTGCCGCTGCTCCGCCGGGAGGAGGGAGAGGCTGTCCGGGCGCGGGGCCTGGAGCCCAGCCACCGAAAACGTGCCCGGCTCGCGCGTACCGGGGGCTCGGTGAGCCTGTGCCGAGAAGAAAACGATCATAGCTTAAAAGAAACTTATTTGTGCTTTGGAAGGCTAAATCCAGATGTACTCACGGGAGCAAACGGGCATGTAAACAGCTGGGGGCTGAGCCTGTGTCATTAAAAAAAAAAATCAGCAGGATGGGTGGATGCTGCTTGAGAAAGGAAATGCTCCGTAGGAAGTAACAGGCATTTGAGGCAACGTTATTGATATTTCGTAGGTATGTGGTGGTTCTTATTCAGAGTCCAAGCCAGATTAATGATTTCCAGCGCTGCGCAGGATGTGTTCCGTTCGTAACTGAGCATTGCTCAAGGCTTCGTAGCTAGGAAGAGCTTTGCAAATTAAGTCCTGCTCCAACAAGTTTTGGAGGACCTGAAGTAAACACGGCTCCCTTTTTCCTGCCTCGTGCCTGGCTGCTCTGAACGCAGCTTTTCCCGCTGCTTTTGCCACAGCGTCTGCCTGCGCAGAACCAGGGGTGCCTTTCCTGTAGGAGTCTGTCTTCTGGCAGCCGTGACGGGGTCAGACGCGGTCTGGAGCTGAGCCCCCTCCCCACGTACCCAGGCGTCCTCGTGGGCAGCGGCAGCCCTGGCACAGAGGCAAGTGCTCCGGGCATCCGAAGGGCAGCGTTTTCTTCCAAACTGCCCGTAAGAATTTTGGTCAAAATAGCTTAACCTGGGAAGTTCTGCTTTTGCCCGCATCTCCCCGGCAGGACTCGAGGCTGTTTCAGTTCAGTGCAGTAGCTGCAAGTCCGGAAGAGGTTTATGAAGTTAATTTTTCACTGGCAGCCTGCGTGTGTTGCAGTGTTACAGGAGGGTTTAGGAGGCCAGGCAAGGGGAAAATGCCCTCTGCGAGGTGCTGCCCCGAGCCAGGGCGGTTTTTGACGTGGAGCTTCTTTAACCAGGCGAGGTGGGAAAGGAGCATTCAAGAGGGAAGCCGAGCAGCAAAACAGCCTGTTTTTATCTGTGTCTGTGCTCCTCAGCTTCAGGCAGGCATGAGTTACAGACCTATCTCTACCCCATTTTGATGAGGAAATTACAGAGGTTTTTAAAATAAACAGTCCCATCCCCTCCTCCTCCTGTTCCCAAACTTTGAAGAGCTTATCCTGCCTGAGCTGTCCCTGAAATGGCTGCGCTTGCCAGGAGCTGAGGTGTAAATCAGCACTGGAGCTAGACGGGAGTCGGGCTGTTTTCTTCAGAACTTGTCTGAGCAAGAGCAGGTAAAGGGGGGGGGGGGAATTCTCATTTCGAGCAGGTTTTGTTCAATATGTTTTTAAGGCTGCCGTGAAAAGGCAGAACAAGCCAGCGAGGCTGCCTTTATCTTGGTAAGGACAGCAGCTTCAGAAATGTAAATATTGAAATGCCTGCTCGCAAAGATTAGGCTGCTGGACCTCAGTGATGCAACAGGATGAACTCGCTTGAGCTGTGTTGCTTTTGTGCAAAGCCGCATTGAAACTGAGGAGCTGAAAAAAGACGGTAAAAACTCTAAACGCAGAAGTTACATTTTCTGTTACTGGCGTTAGTTATTTACGTTCTCGGATGCACCCCTTGTGAGGCAGAGCAGGTCGTCTCGCTGCTCGTGGGAAGGCGGCTCGTTGTTACTTGTAAAGATGGATACCGCAAAGCTTACAAGGGGGAGAATCTGGGCCGCTCCTGGGGCGGGACGTCTGTTTAGGATGTTTAGTTTGTTTAGCAGTTCCCATACTGCTGGGACGGGGTGAGCCTAGGAACCGCTGCATCCTGGCGCGTTAATTATTGTGGCAATGAACCCCATACTCATGTCCTCTACCTCCGTACTCCTCCAGACAGGTTGCCTCTACAGCATGGGGCGCTCCGGCAGGGGTTCTTAAATCTCCCTTCAGCCTCCTTCGTATTACTATTTTTGGTGATTCTTTTATTTCAGCTATAATGAGGCCACTCTCCAGTCACGCATGTTTTTACGTATCTTTGGAAAAAAGCCCAAGCATTCAAACAGCCCCTGCTTGTTGATTTTTTGGTAAAGTCACTATCAAACCCCGCAGGAAAACTTTCTTTCCGTCCCAAAGGTTGTTTTGCACGGCGGGGAACTGGAGTTCGGCTGCATCATGGCAACGGTCGTCACCGAAAAGCTTAGCCGCCTCTTCATTAACGTGCGGCAGGTCCCTCAGCTGCTGGCCCCCCTCTCTCCCTCCACCGTCAGCAGTTCAGAGGTGCCGAAGGTCTTCTGGAAGCCCTACATCCACACCGGCTACCGGCCGGTGCAGCAGACCTGGCG